ATCAAACCGCGTTAATCACACCTGGACCAAATTTCAAAGGCTTCAACTTTAGTTAAAGAAGTCAAGTTGGATACTAAAGATATAATTGAGCTAGAAATAGATAAAGATGATTGAAAAAATCACATTTTCGCGCTGAACAAGCCCGCTTGATGATGATGATTTAGCGTAGTCACTTCGTAATGTTTGAATGCATAGTGAAATTAGTATCAGCCTGTGATTAGGCCTTTTGGAGTCTATGTTTAAAGTTATGTGCGTACGGTTGGAAATGTTAAGATCTGTGTTGAGTTAGAAGGGCTGAAAATTTATTTTTTGGTTTTATCATCTGTTGTCTAAATTATCTCATTTTTTAATTTAAGATAAGATTGTACAGAGGTTCAGACAACAACAGCAGCAACAATGACAAAAAACAACAACAAAAAAACAACAACAACAATAATAAAAATAGTTTTAATGATATCAAAAATCGTGTATTGAAATAATAATAAAAGTAACAACAATAACAATGATAATCTAGTTTTGAAATTAACTTCTAACTCATTATAAGCCAATCTCGAGGGCAGAAATAACTTGATTGCCTCTGTCGTCATTACTTCGGTTAAAATTTTATTGCATAGATATTATGTAGAAAGGGAAGAGCGATAATAAATGTTCTTCTATCGAACGGCGGACAACAGCCATAAAATAAAATGAACAAAAATAAAATATGTGAAGTGTAGTAAAATAAATCAGCCCAAAAATTGATACAAAAAGACAAAGTAATATTTAAAGTAAGACTATAAACGTTAATGAAAGGATAAAATTTGTCCTCAGAAAAACTAAAAAGCGATAAGATTATTTGCATTTTTTAAAGGTTAACATAAATTTTTATTTTGTCAATTATTTTGTTAGTTAATGCCAGGTATTTATTTGAAATCGGTATGACATATATCGCCTAACAAATATATATAAATTGTAGTAAAGACAAATTAATCCAAATGGTTCAAAAATAATTTCAAAAGGAATGCCGTACACATAATTTTTATAATAGTGAATAACAAGGGCTTCAAAAAGTTGAAAAGTGGACGCAGAAATTATAATTATAAAAGTTTTTTCTAACAAAAAACACACTGAAAAAGAGTATCAACCGTCTTTTAAATTACAATAATAAAAAGTACAAAAGAGAACGTGGCGGATGTAGAGACAATGTTGGCGTGAATACCAAAAAAGGCTGCCAGTCAAAATTTTTTAAATGTTGAAGGTCGATGGGGGGTTCAAATTTGTGCTAGTGTGACCCAAATAAGCCATTAGCCTGGTGACCTTTCTTGGTTATCAAGACAATTTTTTGTCTTTTTTATGCTTAAAACGGTGTTTATGAAAACTGAGTTAAGTTTTAAGTTTTAATAAAAATACTGCCGGCTCCCAAATCAGCCTTTGAATGAGAACATGAATGTTGCCAGAAGGAAAGTGATAATAATCATGATACCACCAATAATATCTTAGCAAAGGTGTGAAAAGGGGAGACATTGAGGCAAAAGCTTTTCATAATGAAAAGTTAATTAGTTAATTAAGTTTAAATAAATTTTTTTCACGAAGTATTGAGGTATGAACAACAAACGAACAGCGGATATAGATTTGTCCGAATCCATGTATCACGCACACGTATTCATGTAACAAGCGTTGATCTCTTTACATTCAAAAACAGCCACCGCAACATCAGCACCAACATCTTAACCCTCAATGGGTCTTTGGGGTGCAATCTGCACCCCAAGGCAATTTCCATGGTTACTACATTTTTATTAATTAAACTACAGCAATCAGGCTCTAGGAAATTGCTAATTTTTCTATCATTTCATGCTTTAAATTTTGAAAAAAAAATTTGCGCTGATTTTTAGCGAAATATTTTTATTGGGGGTGCATTTTGCACCCCTAATAAACCTTACTTAACATTTCAATATAATAACAAAAAAAATTATTATTGCTAAGAAATTTTGTTAATTTTAATAAAATAATATTTTAGTAACATTTGGCTATTAGTTGCACGTTTTTTGAATGTCAGTCATTTTGTTTTACTTGCATTTCATCTAACACGACGTGACATGGCTAGTTATTCAACAGCTGAAGCTCTTAGACTGATTACGCAGGAAGATACAGAAAGTGATGAAGGCAATGTTACAGAAAATGATGCCAGTAGTGAAGATGGAGATTATTTGCTAAGATTAGGTGCTGATTCTGATACTGAAGATCATGTGTCTGAGGAATCTGATGAATCGGAAGATGTCATTACATCTGATGAAGAGCCGGTAAATCAACCTTCTACAACAGTGACTAAAAGAGGTAAAGGTACAGCAAGTGAAAAAAGAGGAGGTAGAAGCAGATCATTTCGTGGACGGAACACGCACGGTACATCCGATTCAGCAAAACCAACAGCTGTAGGTCAGTCTGTTGTTAGTATTAATACAATTGTGGATCGAACGGGCAGACCAAACCACCTGCAATCCACCGACGGCAAGTTCAGGACATAATTCGGCAACAACCCAGCGTCACTTTTTCAATAAAAAAAGTGTTTCAATTGTATTCATCTCAAGAGATTCAGTCTGTCTGTTGTCATTAGAAAAACAAACCAAATGGAACTCTACTTATCCAGATAAACAGAAGCGCTGGAAAGAGTTTGACTGGACCGTTTTGTTTTTTAACATGCTTGACTTAGCTGCCATTGTTAGTTTTGTAATCTAGATGTGCAACAACACTGATTGGAATAAATCTTCTAAAGCTATATGTCGTCGCCAATTTATCATAAGTCTCGGGGAGTCTCTTGTTGAGCCACTAATTAGGAAACATTTGGACAATTTCGTTCGGCTCAGAAAGTCAATCATGGGTGCAATCCAACATCTAGAGTTGGACCTTGAAAAAAGAAGAATCAAGAGACCAACTAAAAAAAAGAGGACACAAGACGTTGTCCTCTGTGCCCGCGCGAGTGTGACAGGAAAACTCGTATGTTCTGCGATGTGTGTTCCAGGCCCGCTTGTCCGGCACATTCTACAAAACATTTCAAAAATACTTTGTGAAAGTTGTTCATAACAATCTTGTAAATTATTTAAAACTTAAATTTGAAAAAAGAACATCATTTGCATTTGATTTTTAACAATTTAAAATGACAATATAGTTACAGTTTTCCTTATATGAAGTTTGTGGGAGTTTCTCCTTACTAACATCTTTTTTAGTTGATCGTTTGAGAGAATATAATATGCATATTTTAGTTTTAAAACGTATTTTATCTTCATTAAAAAAAATTTGAGGTTGTTATAATTGTTTTACATACGAATATTGACTGGGGTTCAAATTGCATCCCAAGGTCCGGGAACGTAACCTTTTAGCAAGGACCCATTGAGGGTTAACCATTAAAATACCACGCCACTCCATATCAAATCAAATCAAATCAAATCTGCTTTTATTCAGCAAAGTGTAACACACACTCTAGGAGACCCGAAGCAAATGCTTGTGAGGTCACCCTAAAAATAAACAAAATTAAACAAGTTAAAATAAACAGGAATTAACTCACAATTAACAGAAATAAAAACAAACAGGAATAAACAAGTTAACTTAAATCAACAATCAACTCTGGAATGGAATATAAAACTGAAAAGATAAAAAAAAAATAAATAAATAAAACAGTATGCATAATAACAAAGGATAAACAACTATGCATAAATACACAATTTAAATCAAGTTAGTGTGAAATGATTAAGTAAGATTAGCTGATTAACTGATGAGCTGATTAACTGATATAATATCAAAAACAAGTTCAACCATCCTCATACGCAGAAACATTTTATTAAAACGCACTAAACCAACATCAGCATGGCGGCGCAATGGTGTAATGGTTAAGGTGCCTGGCATTGTTGATGCAGTGAGCGGGTTCGAATGTCGAGAGATCCGCGTTGGTTCACGTGTATTTACATACACAGTGTGTTTGATGAAATGACTTCTGAAGAATATCTATAATCTTTCTATTGCTCCAAAACCGCAGCCAAAATATAGGTACCATGCAATGACAACTGCTTCACTGGAAATTGTATATTAATGTAACTATAGAAAAATGCATACATGGTGAAAATATAATATATAAATTCATGCATGTACATTATACGAATTTCTAGCGTAGGATATTTTTAACCATATCAATTAGTAGAGAAGACAGTAAAATTAACAAAGTCACTAATAACAATAAATGTAAAATTACAGGAATAAAGGCCTGGGTTATACAAATTCTGTAAATAAACTACAACTAGTACTTGGTTATTCAATTTTTTTTATATAAACTGCAACAAGGGCTGAAGATGATTGAAAAATCGAAATAGGTCCTATACACTCGAGAATGAATTGGAAAACTGTATATTATTTCTAACTTAAATAAAATAAATAATGACGACAAGAATTTGGTTAGAAATACTGAGAAATGTAATAAAAAAACTATCCAACGCTAGAAATCCGGTAGATTTCATAAATCACATTTCTGGTAGTACACTTGATCTTAATGTTTCGTCCACTAATCTCCAGCCTAGTGAATGCAAGGTTTTTCCTAGTGGTTTGAACGCCGATCATAGTTTCATTAAAATTATTTTCTCGTTTACATATTCTGTTCCACAAATTAAAAAACATTAGGTTTGGTCATGAAACCGAATGGATGGTAAACTGCTGCTCATCTTGTCTCCCAATCATGTACCGGTGATCTGTTTACTGAGAGTGAGCCTGATGCTGTTTTTGATTTGTTCATCAAGAATTTGCAATTAAAAATCGATGTCGTAACACCGTTGCACTTTGTTGATTTTTACAGTACATATGTTGCTTCTGGTTTAACGACAAATGCAGGAATATGAAAAGGCTTTGTTGTAAGCTGGGAAGAATGTGTCAACACAGTACATCTTTGTACATATAACATCTTTATGTGTATATATATATATATACATCATTATAACATCTTTTTTAATCTTAATCTGTAATAAATTTTGAATAGTGAAGCAATGGAAATCACTAGAGAACTCGGGTTGTTGAAAATATTATTTGATTCGAAAGAGAAACAAGGCAGGCAGGTGCAGCACACCGTACACGCACAGGACTACGACGAATGCTTCCATACTCGATTGCATCGCTACAGCAACAAAACAACTCTTCAACGGTTGCAATAAAATCGCGCAAAACAAAACCAAAATTGATACCTTACGCAAATGCATTCACGAAAGAAAAAGGTCATCAATATAAATTCATAATTAAACAGCGTCAGAAATTTTCAACCAAAACGTTGAGCAAATGGATTTTGAACAACATTTCTGTTCGGAACCACATTTCTGATTATTTTTTTAGCAATAACATAAATAATAATTTTGAAACTTAAGTTTTTGGTAATTAAATGAATATATGATTTCAAATATTCTCAAATTCAGGTACGTAAACACATAATTTATCAATAAAAAAAAGGTTAAAAATAATCTTGCACAATCACAAAACAACATTTTGAAAGTTATTTAAAAATTATAATGTGGTATAATTAAGAAATTATCCAATAAAAATTAATAAAATATAAAAAAGTGAAATACGAAAAATGTTTTATTTAAACAAATTAGAGCATCAAAAATTTTTTTACAACAACTACATAATCTAATTTATTTCTCTAATAAATTCAACAGAGCAGGTAAATAAAAAATATACGCCTAAATAGAAAAAGGTTAGTCGCAACTAATGATAATAATTTAGCATCTTGGGTGGCGATTTGCGTGAGCGTTCATAGAGTCGTGCATTTTTTTAACTAACAAGCGTTCTTTATTTATTTGCCCGTCCAGGAAGTAGATTTGCGTCGGGGAGTAAAAATATTGGAAGCCAAACCAAATGAAATAAATTTTAAAATAAATTCTAAAGATTGTTTTTATTTGCTGATAAAGCTAGAAAAAATGTATTTTAACTTTGTATTTATTTACATATTTAGTTGTTTAAAATCAAATATTGTCTTTATTAACAGCTACGCTTTGAATAAAAACATTACAGTGCATTAAATAAATTACTCTTAATTACAAAACAAAATCCACTAAAATTGACCGTCAATGAATTTAAATTTTTGAACTTTTTTGTTCCAAAAAATGTTCGATACTGAAGAATTTGAGTTAATCTGCTAAATCAAATAAATTTATATTTATTAAATTATCTTTAACAACTAAACATTGGTCAAATTATTGAAAACAGAAATAAAATCTAGTTTTACTTTTATTGTATAAAACATCAGTTTTGTTCAGGCTGGTTCAACATTATTTATTTGCATTCATAGATACGCGTGCATGAGTGAATTTTTAATGAATTGTCTGCTAAAGTGTTGGGTATCTATCGCATATCTTGCTGGTTGAATACACATTTTAACTTATTTCATATAAATTTTCTATAGATTTATTTTATTTTTTACCAATATTTCAAAACTTTTACTTATGCATAATAACATAAACTTCCACAACTTTATTTTTTTCCAATGCGATCTATTCCATTTTATTACTGAACATCAAAATCTTCATCGACATTTCATTGGCATTCTAGGGAAAAAATTATACAAGTGCATAAAATAAAAATACTTGATGCAGATTAGAACTTTGATATTATACAAATGGTGTTACTGTTGTTAAAGAGCCAAGTAAAGTCGCCTTCTGTACAATAATGGACCAATGTATTTCACCTGCTTGATAACGAACTATCCTATTGTATTTTATGATTAGGGTCCACTATATCTTTGTAATAATAAACTATCTTACTCCATCTTCATGGTTATGGAGGGACCGTTATATCTTTAAAATGTTATGTTTATATTTTTGTTAACACTTAGCAAAAATAGAAGATGTATCAAGTTCGTTTTATTTTCATGATTTTCTGCTAAAATGAAATTAATTTATTTCAAATAAAAACGAAATAAACATTTTTTCAGGTTCTAAGAATATTTTATATGCTGAATTTTTATTGGCACAATTTTCATTGATATGTTAGTTATCTACTTCCCTCTCTTAATTATATGGCCATGGTTAGTTATATTTTTAGAACAAACGCCCCGGTTTACGATCGTCTTCTTCTTCTCGCTTTTTCTTAACTCGTGTTAAACACTCTTTTGCCAAATCTGCTTTTGCTTTTTCTGGTCCTTTTCTCTGGAACTCTCTACCTACTTCTCTAACTACTTCTCCATCACTTGCGAAGTTCAGAGCGGATCTCAAGACCCATCTGTTTTCAAAATTCATTGAGGAGCGCTGTTGAACATCGCGGAAATAGCGCTTTATAAGCTGATTGATTGATTGATTGAACAAGATGTGATTTCTAAAAAACATACTGCGTCAGTTCTTCAAAATTTACCTTAATTAGAAAAAAATCGTTATAATTATATTTTCGAGCAACTTGTGAAACAAGCTATTTTTAATTACTCCATTTTATTCAAAAAAAAGTGAGAGTCAGCCTAGCAATAAATGCTTATCTAGGGTTGACTCCCATCGTCACCAAATATTTGCTTATCTAAATATTTCGGCCGTAGTCAAATTTAAGTTATTCATCCCATAAACTATGACTACAAATAATTATATTAACTGAATTTCAATACATCTGACTAACTAAAATTGTACTTCCCAGTTGTCCTTGATTTGACGGGACAGTCTCAATATGAACTTGTGAAATTGTGCCACACTTCTGTGCAGCTGAGTGAAACCTCAACTTTCAAACAGCGCTTTTCAAAGAACCTCTTGAATAAATGCAATTTACGATCCACTGTGAAACGTGTTATTCGTTATTTGAAATGACGGAAGATAAAAGAATTTGGAAACAAAACAGTCAATAAAAGAGCATTAAATAAAGAAATGTTTTTTTTGCATATTTTAGTTTTAAAAATGTTTGCGTCCAACCAGCCACAATCATATATTATATAATGTTTCATTACAGTTTTTAATAACTCAATGGATTAAATCTGCTTATTAATTAATTTGTCATTCAATTCAAGCTAACGCAGTTCTTAGTAAAATTATACAAAAAAAAACTCCTGAGAATTTTAAACACAATATTTTTGTCTCTTGTCAAACTTATGAAAATTGTTGAGCTAATATACTAAGTGGTTGGAGACAATCCCAAGAAACTTATTTTTTTTCCTTTGCCGCGTAATCAACACGCGTTTTATTTTATTTTAAACAACCATTTTTAAAACGATCGTAACAACATATTCAATCACGTAACTGAATGTAAATTTTTCAACATGTTTATTAATTAAAATTTACTAATATAATAGAAATATATAAAAACAATTTTATAAAAAAAACAACGATTATAATATATTAGTTATTGGGATCGAAACGATTTTGTTATCTTTGATCTTTCGCATCTAAAAACGATTATCGAATATGAAAATATGTTTATATGTATTGTAAGAATTCAACCCAATTGTTCGTATTAATCAATTTATATATTTATTATATTTTCATACTGTAATTTAAAAATTGTTTTTTCGATTTTCTAAACTAAAATCTTCTAAAAATTGTTCAATTTATTAAAAAAAAAATTATCCAAGTTCATCATAAAAATTTAATAAAACTGTTGAATCTCGGCGGACGATCACAATACGGAACTGATGAGAATTACTAATCTACTAGTAAACAATGGTTACAAGACATCAACCATTGAAAGAACCATTCAACAAAGACTACAATATATTCAAAAACAACAATGACAACGACGCAATCCTATATTCCAAAAATCATATTTCAACGGCACATAAAATATACAAAGTTGTTTTCAAACAAATCATAAAAAGAAACGTTACACCAATCACACTAATAAAATAGAATTCAAGATATACGACAGTAATTGTAGGACATCAAAATTGGTCCTAAAAAACAACGGCATTTTTTCCAACATTTATATATATATATATATTTGTGTGTTTGTATGTGTGTGTATATCATGAATATATGTTATAAAGTCATACAATACAATATTTGGAAACCAATCTATCGTTATTTATTGACGAAACAAACTACTTACCTGGTGCCACACAAAAATATTGAAAACATAAGGAAAATTTTGCTCGCTTGATTTGCTTACATCATTTAGTTATAATTTATGTGATAAGTGGTATAATTGCTTATTTAACGAACTATCAAAAGAGAAAGAAATTTAACCTTAAAAATAAAAATTTAAGCGGCATAAATCGGGCCAGGTGTTTCTAAAGTGACATTTTGTTTTTGTATGAAAAAAGTGCTGACTCTAGGACCATCAGCTGTATTGCACATGCACACGTCATGCCTCGGTCATTGTCTTTCGAATTCATGCAGTCCAATCGATTTAATGGAAATACAGTTAAATTGGTTATTACGATGTTACTTAACATTTGTGATGTTTTTATTTTGAAACAATTTCTTTCCTTCGAACTGGTAAAACATTATTATTTTTTCTAATTTTATTCAAAATTCTGTTTTCATTTTCCATTCAAATCATGACTTTTTTCATTAAAATGCAATCCATAATCCTTGCCGCCTTCATGTGTTATCTCAATCAACTTCTGCATGCCATCTGCACTCAATGCTAACAGTACATCAATACCATTGTCAAGTCTGAGATTCCTATACAAAACTCGAAACAGGGAATTATAATTAAAGACAAAAACTGACATAAAATAGAGATGAAAAGAGACATGTTTAAATATAATCAGATAGAAAACGGTTTGGAACGTGGTTACCGACAAATTTTGTTTTGAGGTTTACAATAAGTGTATATCTTTAGAATGCAACTATTAGATAATTTATTTTTTTTAAACTAATAATTTTAGCTGATTTTCGAAAATTCTTTAATCAAATAAAACATATAAATAAACGCCAAAAATTCATTTTTCAACTTTTATGGATAAGAAACTTTAGTTTTTATTATGTTGAAATTCATTAAAAACCTTTTTAAAACTTTGTTTACATAATCGCTAAAAACAAAATATGGAAAGTTAAAACTTTTCCAACAATTAAATAACAACATTTGCCTCATTCCGATTTCATTGGAGAAGGCATAAAGTAAAAACAAAGTAATGAATTATTGATTGACATTCGATTTTACGCGGGCTATATATAAATGAATAAATAAATAAAATGTGGCGTACACTCCCATACATACATGCATGCATGCGTTACATACATACATTACATAGATACATAGATACATAGATACATACATACATACATACATACATACATACATACATACATACATACATACATACATACATACATACATACATACATACATACATACATACATACATACATACATACATACATACATACATACATACATACATACATACATACATACATACATACATACATACATACATACATACATACATACATACATACATACATACATACATACATACATACATACATACATACATACATACATACATACATACATACATACATACATACATACATACATACATACATACATACATACATACATACATACATACATACATACATACATACATACATACATACATACATACATACATACATACATACATACATACATACATACATACATTCCACAAATATTACCGGTTGGTTCTTGGCAGCAGCTGTCGAAGGTCAACATTTCATCGATCAGTGTCGGCAATGACATCATTGAATTTTCCACATCTGTCCGTAGTCTTGGAGTTATTATTGACTCAAACTTAAAGATGGATTTACATATTAATAATTTAGTGAGGGTCTGCTCCAACCAACTCCGTTTATTACGCAATGTCAAAAAATCACTAAACACGTCTTTTCTTCAAAGCTTGGTTTCCTCTTTCGTCTTTTCCAGACTAGACTACTGCAATGGCCTTTTTTATGGTGTCACCAAAAGGTCTTTTTCAAAGCTTCAGTCAATACAGAATCGTGCGGCCAAGCTAGTTTTGGGTGGTTCGTGGTTCGATCATGTTACGCCTATTTTGAACAGGTTGCACTGGTTGAGGGTTGAAAAACGTGTTTCCTTCAAGTTGGCAGTTTTGATGTTTAAATGTGTCAATAATACAGCACCTCCCTACCTCATCGATAGATTGGAATCATACAAATCTCATTTTTCAAAATATTCCTTCCGATCAACCGAGCGCAATTTATTTTTTATCCCGACCACAAAGTTGGTGACGGGTTCCCGCAACTTTGCGGTTCCTGGTCCGATTGTTTGGAATGGTTTACCTCCATACTTACGTGACCCTAACCTATCATATTTACAATTTCGAAGTCAACTTAAAACTTATTTATTTGCACAATGAATGTCCGTCTTATTTGTCTATGATTTAGTAGCGCTTTTGAGATTCAACAATAAAAAAGCGCTGTATATAAATTTCCGTAATAATAATAATAATATAATAATAATAATAATACATACATACATACATACGTACATTCGATGCTGGAGGCAGTCAAACGGCTCCGTCCCCAAATTTACAACTACTGCCATTCCGCATATGGTCGAATCTCTTCTATTGGTTATAACACCTGGGTGATGGAATCGTCCGAAGGGGTACAACAGGGTGACCCTTTGGGGCCGATGTTCAATAACAAAAAAAAAACATATCTGATTACGTCGGCATTAAATTAACAACCATGAAAAAATTGAAGCAAGAGACTTTCGACTTTCTTTGGAAACCAACAAATAGTTACAAAAAGTTTATTTACGATGATACAGAAAAATTTACAAGACGCTTCCAGTATGATTGGTTACAAAAGTTTAAATGGCTTGCTTATTGAGAAAACGTAAAGGCGTTTACTGTTCAACGTGTGTAATATTTTTAACAGAAAAAATGGTTGTTGGTAAAGGTAAACATGAAACAATTGGAACTTTTATTAATGAACCATACACAAATTTGAAAAAGGCTTTGGAGAGTTTAAGACATTATGAATGAACAGTGTATCATCAAAATGCTGTTTTAGCAGAAAGTAATATTGAAACCATTGCTTCTAATATAATAAATAGTATTGATAAACAAATAGATACACAAAAAAAGAAAAAAGCAAAAGATAATAGAGAGAGACTTAAACCTATAATAAAATCTATAAGTTTTTGTGGTCAGCAAGGCCCTGCATTAAGAGGCAATAATGATAGAGGACGGATAAATTTAATAACTCTAATGGAAAATGATGGTAACTTTCGAAGCTTGTTAAGATTTAAAGCCAATGGAGGAGATGTAGTTTAACAAAGTCATTTACAACAATCTGCAAAAAACGCTTTATATACCAGTTCTGAAATACAAAATGAAATAATAAATTCATTTGGTTATAGATTATCTCATACAGAAAAAAATTATCAAAAGAATTCAGCAAAAACTATTTTTTCAGTTTTGGCTGATAAAACAACTGATATTTCACAAATTGAACAATTTTCCCTGTATATAAGATATGTGAGTAATGATGACAATGGTATACCAATTTTAAGAGAAGATTTTTTATCATTTGTTCCAGTTTATGATGTTTCTGGCCAAGGTTTTGCAACGGTAATTGTTGATAAGCTTAGAGAATTTAGTCTTCAAATGGAACATTTAAGAGGACAGGGATATGATGGAGGATCTCACCTTTGCTTAACTGATACTTCTAAAATTCAAGAAATTCGGAACACTATGGGAATTATTGCAAAACTGTGTTAAACCCAAAGAGCTCAAAAATATTGGAAGATAAAATAAAAGAATTAGATCCTTCAATAAAAAACAAACGAATCAAACAAATATGTAAAACTTGATGGTGTGATTCTTTGTAAAGAAATTTTTGTACTTATGGTGGCCTCT